AGCTCTACTCAATACTCAAGAGTATAATAGTGAAAATCATGCTGAAATCGTAAAACTCACCCCTATAGATAAGGGTGAGGTACCTGCTTCTAGAAGGTTGCTCGGATGAGCTGAGGTAGCTGCCCAAACCTGTCGGCCTGCCCGATCGTACAACACACACTGAAGGTGTGTCAGAGGGGGTTACGCTATATGGACTAATCCGGTCGCGCCATGTAACCTTTCACATGGGGACTTGATTCCTCTGAGGTCTCCTCGAAGACTCTGATGCTCGGCCAAATCTAGGTCGACCTGCTGACTGCTCTGAGTTTGATAAATGATCGATCATAAGACCGTTCGTGGTGTAGGTTAATCTTCGACCAGACCCTCCGTGGTCTAGGATCGACGTACTCCCCAAACGTAAAAATTCCCTTTAAGCTATCTTTCTTCTCTAGTGACTCTTGTTCCTGTGATGTTCGACCACGACTACCCTGCTCGTATTCTGTTTGACCAGGGTGACTGATTCGATTTATTCGACCGGCTTACTGGACCAGTTTACTCCTTGAGGTATAATATCCCATATCAAGTCTTAATTCGAATAGTTCACAAAGACGAATTAAGTCTGGGATCTGATAATAGTTGTTGGGTTCTATGAAGAACATCGCCGATATACACATCTCAATTTATCAAAATAAATCCTAAAGAAGTGGAATCTATAGGTAGGATCAGGACTTAGGTCTAAAAAATTTTTGACTCTGAGACAACTTATACAGCCTACGAGGTAGGACGAACAGTTCTGAGACACACCCATAAGCCCACATTCCTTGCTGCTCTTCGTCGAGTCTCAAGTCCGTCATTCAGGATCGTCGGTAGTGCGTTAGGATCAGTGGAGGTCGCTGTGAGTGTGCGTTGTGGCGCTATGTGCGTGTGCGTCGATGCGTGTGTGCTGGTTGTGGCTGGCATCCTCCGCGTGCAGTTGCGTCTACAGGCGGGGGCTGCGGTTGCCGTCGCATGCTAGCAATGCGTCTGTGGGAGTGTGTCGTGTGGATTGTGCGTCGCGCTGGGCTGTGCTGGTGTGCGACGCGGGGTCATTGTAATCGAGCATCAGATGCTGCAGTGCGGATGCATGCGGCGATTGGTCCAGCGGATGCGCTAGTCGCCGTAATCTCCCTCTCCAAGTTTGGTAGTGATCGGACAATCCGCGGGGATAAATATATTCGTCGAGATGCAAAAATTAAAAACTTACGATCTTCGGTCGTATGACCTCTACACCTACTCCAAGTAGTCTTGGTGGTGCGAGTAAGCGAAACTTCTAGTCCTAACAATTTAATACTCATGATTTATTTCTCTTGAAAGAGATCTAGAACCGCGTGTGGAATATATGTGGGAGGAGGCATGGGACTTATGTATCTATAGGCTACAACAGGGACCCTAAGGAGGTGCTAAATACGGGCTCCCAAGTGTTAACACTCCTAATGGTCTTAGCCCAATTTTGGGTCCACACGTGAATAATATACCATGCCACTAAAATAATATTATTTCACTTATGGGTGCACAAACTGTGGTTAACCAATCGAAACTGATTTTTTGGTTTCGACCAAAACCGAAACCGATTAATTGGTTCGGTTTTTGGTTTCTATTATCTCAAAATTTTGGTTTTCGGTTCGGTTCGGTTAAAACCTGTCGGTTAACCGAACCGAACCGAAAACCGATATTATACATATAAGTAGAAAGTCCAATATAATGATATATCATTTAATCCATTGGTATTTACCCACAGACCCAAAGCTACAACAGGCGGCCCACCACAAAGCAGGCACAGTTTAATGATTTTATCTTTCATCTTCCTTAGCCCAAATCCAATCTGTCACTCAATCTTACGAGTTCCATAGAGCAGGGCCAGCAGATAGAGACATCTCACACGCAGTGAGCACTCCTAACCGGAAACTAGCATCTTCTTCTCCATCCGTCTGCCGCACGGCGCACATAATCACACAGACACTCCATCTCTGATCTTCGACGTCGATGCTCTGAAGTCTAAAATCCTAAATCGGCGCGCTCTGAAGTCTGAATCCAAATCGCCTCGCTCGCTCGGTCGCTCCTGCTCCCGCACACTCCACCCGGCAGGCCGTTACTCGACCGCGACCCTCGTCTTCTCAAATGAGTTCGCCACCCAAATCCCCTCGTACGGGCTGCACTTGTTCGTAATTTTCTTTTCTGACTTTGAATCGTACGGGCCGCAACCACCACTTCAAGCTCGTTTTTTTTTTCAGTTAATTTTTATGCCTATGATTTGAGCTGCACGGTTGTGGCTTGTGGGTTTCCAAATTGTTATGAAGTCCGAATTTTACTTCTGTTACCAAATTGTTGCTGTGATATGAGTCTGAATTTTTTTTTCCTTTTGTTTTTGTAAATTATTGTTATTTGTAAATTTTATTTTTGTCATTTCTCCACATTATCGGATAACCGAAAACTGAACCGAAAAAACCGATAAATTTTTGGTTAAAAACTGAACCGAACCATAGTTTTCGGTTCGGTTCTCGGTTTTAATACTAATTCGGTTTTAACCGAATTTTCGGTCAGTTCGGTTCGGTTTTGATCGATTTTGCACCCCTAATTTCACTTCCCATTTAGCTCTGAATTACAAATAATTCGTCTCTCGGCTTAATTGCTCGAATTACCCCTCCATGTTGAAGATCTAACGTCTGTTGATTAATTTAATACTCTTAACATATATAATAATTAATCAACTTCTATTTCTGAAACTAGTACAACTCAGTCCTTTATTATTATATCGAAAACTAATCTGCCTGTAGGAGTTAACATAATAATCTTTCCAGAACTCATTTGGGGGAACCATCAACCCAGCGGACTAGAACATAGCGACCGTAAACAATTTCAACGGCAGATGATGTAAACAACATCACTTACCAAAATACCGAGTATGTCAACCTAATAGAATACGTATCACCCTTGGTAAATCAAACAAGCAAGTGTTGAATACATATGCACGTTTATTGTCTTACGATTTATTGTCGTACGGGTTAAGAGAATGCAGCAATTACTGAGGTCTTGATTATTTACTTGGTCAGTATAGAATAATCTTCTTCTCTTGTAGGTTCATGCAGTACATCCGAGATGTACTAGTGTAATTCATTTTAACTCAAAAATCACACTACAAACTTTCCTGACAGATAACTCGATTGTATATAGGCTATGAACAAATATTTATTTTTTACAAGGCAGTGATAATATGATCTTTTTGTTCAACGCATCAAATCATATTATCCACAATGTAAAATAAATGAACTATGCTTGCATAAATAAATAAACGACAAACACACATACTTGACTAAAACACGAATTTCATTCAAACGGGTATTGGCAGAAACTGAAAGATGGGCTTTTACCGTATACCCTAACAACATCAAACCAACACACGCGGTGGCGGTGGCCTTAAATAATCTAATAGAACACCGTACAAACAACATCATTACATAACTCACCTATACTATTGATCCAGCATAATGGATCTCAATTTTTAGTGAATTAAAGTAGCAACTAATGAGTGCACATGCCCGTTATTTATCTTACGGGTTAAGAGTCGGTAGTAATTAATCAAGGTCTAGTTTCTTTACGTGGTCAGTATAAAATAAATTTATGCTCTTGGGATCCATTTAATATATCTGAAATGCACTAGTGTAATTCATCAGTCAAGACCAACCGATCCAAATTACACTACAACCGTTCGCGATGGTTTGTTCATTTCCATCTAGGTCGTGAACCAAAACTTTATGTTTTACAAGTAATCGATATTATGAACCATATCTATCAAAATGTAAAGCGTTAGAACGTAGAATTATATAGTTAAACATGATTCTCATAAATAGGAATAGTGTTAAGACATGAAACCCAAGAAATGTGTATGTAACAAAAAAGACACGCCTTAAATCCAACAAGATACACCCCTTTATTAAAATGCCTCAACCGAAGAGACACCTTTCCAGCATAATCGTTACCCAGAGCAACAAAACATTTAAAGTCGTAAGAAATAGCTTCTCAGGCGTATTGACGATCTCCTTCACACCTAGGAACCTAGGGCCCTATTATACCCAATTTCCTTAAAAGTCTAATCGGGCCCATCAAGACAAAGCCAAAGAAATAATTGAGCCTACACAAGTCCCAACAACCAAGAAGCCCATAAAGCATGCAAACAACCCAGAAAGTGAGAATGGCCAAGTCTGTCTATCTCCCACGATCGACAGATAAAGACTCATGTTGATCCCTCTTTATCTCTTCTCCTAGAAGATTGGCGATCTTTTTTGCATGAGAATGCCAAACCGATAAAGCTGATAGAAGCCACCACCCCAGCTTTCCCATCCTCAAAAGAAGAGTTCTTGCATGAATACACATGGCACCACCCTACGTCCTTAGTGGAACATATCATATATTGTATTTGTACCTTTTTCATGTATAAATTCAACCCCTTCAGAGACAGTGAATCATCAATATCAATGTGAAGGAGTGGAAAAAAAAAAACCACCTACTAGAAACACCCATTATATTCAATCATATGCAGTCGCCATTTACTACATACTTCCCCTGTAATACACATTTTTCAATATAACTTTTGGAAAATACCTTCTCCTTACCAATCTCCTTAGCAGATTGGCAATATCATTGTCTTGTTTCTTTACCGCATATTTGCTTTCTTATTTTGTGTGATTTCTTTTGTCTTCTCTCTAATTTTCTGCCTTTAATTCAATTCACGTTGTAACCCCTAATTTAATCGCTCAAATAATATTCACTATAACCGTTGGCGGTCGACCTGAACAAGGTTAAAGTGCGAACAACATTAAAAATAACAATAGTTTATGACAAATGTATAAAAAAGAAAAATAAGTGATAGTCAAATGGGTGCACCCATAAAAAACATAGTAGAGGGAGAAATATTTTTAGGCTTATAAAAGTTAGTCGAAAGCTAGAGAGAAATGTTTTTACTTTAATGTTTCCAAAACATTAAGCTCCATCACAAATAGTTGCAAGTGCATTAGAACATACCCTACAAATAGACATTTCAAGTGTTTATAGGCACAAGTTGGTAAAACTGTGTTACGCAAATCTAACCATTAACCAGTTGTATTTCAGTAACAAATGATTAGGCTCCATCACATAAGAATTTGTGATAGTGTATATGCAAGAGAACTATAGGAATGTAAAAATTTTCACATTGCATTGATAATTTAAAAAATGACTGCCCCACTGATTTGTATCAATGAATGTGACCTAGATAGAATGTCTCATAAATGAGAAGGAAATTGGACTAGACAAGTACAGTTATCCTGATTCTCGGGCTTCTTGGAAATATTACCCCCACTCAATGTGTCAACAGCTGAAGACCAGCTGCTAAATCCTCCAAGGTGATCGTTAGTAAAGCATCCGTGTTTATACATTCAAAATCTATCCTCAAATCCAAATTCTCTCTAGCATTTACTAGCATTGGATCAATTAAACCTCCATTCATCTCCTGACGTTGTTTTTCAGTTGTTTCCTGTTCTATGAGAGCGGCAACTGCCTCCACTGTGCATGAGGGGTCCAACTTAAATCCATACAGTAGATTTCCTTCAGCTTGATTACACATTTTAAGATGAAGAATTTGGGCAAGGTCTTTCGAACTGAAGTCGTCAAAGTGGAAAAACTTCGTCACCCTCCTGCAGAAGCCTTCGTTCGAAGATATTACACGCTTCATTGGTTCACTATAGCCAGCAAATATTACAACCACTTTTCCAGTGTCCATGAAGGACATGATCTCCTCCAATGCTTCTAATCCATAGTCTTTATCGTCCGACTTCTGCATTGGTATTAAGCGATAGGCTTCATCTACAAACAGAATGCCTCCCTCTGCTTCTTGTATCTGCAGATACATAACTTTGAGTCTTAGAAAAAAATTGAAACTAGCTGCTTTGACAAAAAAGTGAGATATGGGAATAATTGAACAAAAGGTACCTTTCTTCTTGTCTTTGGGCCTGTATGGCCAACAAATTCTCCAACCAAATCTGTTCTTTGGACTTCTGTTACCTTTTCAGTTGGAAGTATGCCCACCATGTGGAGTAGTTTTCCGAGGACTCGAGCTACCATTGTTTTACCTGCATAATATTATCAAAAAGGTTATATAAGATGAGAAAATAAACTGGAAATGAGTATTTTGCCTAGAAAAGAATATACAGCTGCAAGGTGTTACATTTGAAGGAGAGTTTTGAGTACCTGTTCCAGGATTACCAAAAAAGGCCATATGAGGTGGTCTTCTGGCACCAACTTTAAGCCCAAGGGCACGGCGCCTCTCGTCCAAGAGCATCCCCTTGGCCCACTTCTGAAGTTGCAGCTTAAGTGCATTCAATCCAACTATATTTGATAACTCATTCTCAAGAGCATCCATTATGGCTTTTGTCTCGCCACATGCTTCAATGGCTCTTCTCTTGCGCTGCTCCTCTAGATGCCGGAGGAGAAGATCCCGTAATCTTTCATTACCTGGGCCTTGTGAGAGATGATCTAAAGGTGTCATTCCCTCCTACAAAGTCACAGAAATTGTTTACAAAGCACAAATCCGAGTACAGAAGTGAGTGATCAAAATCATCTAAAAAGGGACAATACATTGTCTTCAGCACTGCAATCAGAATTATGCTCCAGCAGTGTATTTACAGTTGAGAAGTCTTCAGCTCTGAGCGAGTGCCAAACAGCAAGATGCAAAGGAGTCATCCCGTTCTGCAGGACAGTTTCCAATAATAAAATAAAATGAGAAAACTTCAGTGATTATCTGCGCAGTAAGAGATTGAACAAGACAAGTTACATTTGCTTTAGCCTCAACAACAGCACCGCGAGCAAGAAGGATTTTTGCAGCTTCATTACATCCATTCTTAGCTGCCATATGCAAAGGAGTCTCCCCATACTGCCAGTTAACAAATTTAAAGGGCACGATGAGAGTAAGTAACAACATATTCCTTAAGTCAAAGAACAAATATTGGAAGCTAAAAAAGAGTATGGCTTCCATGTACCATGTTCTTGGCCTCCAATTCAACCTTTTCAGGCCCTTGCCAATCAAGAAGAAAGTTCACAATCTCAATTCTATTGTAACCAGCAGAAACATGAAGGGGTGTCTGTGCCATCTGTTTATCACAGAAAGTAGGGAGATGAATCAAACAACCAATGACGATATGATTGCTTTTCTTTATGGAGTAGCAGGAACCACCATCTAGAAAGTAGGAAAATTGAAGGGGCTTAGAAGTTCTTGTAATTTTAATAGGCAGTTTTTATTTTTTATCTGTACATGTTTTAAAAATCTTTTCTGATTGGTAAATCACAATTGCATTTCTGAAAGAAATAAACACATATGCACGATACTCGAAAATATAAAGAATCTCATAGCGAAGAGGTGATGAAAAAGAAAACTTATCCAAGAATAAATTTAACATGGTAAAGTATTCAAACATCACAACAAACGCAATATCGGTGACGAATTAAAAATCATCTTACTGAGGTTCCCTATGTAGTATACACTATTCCACATGGTAAAAAATAGCATAGTATTAGTATATTGACTCTTGCATGCAGGCAGTTCATTATTATACCCCTCGAAAATAGAAAGTACTTCCGGCGACCATTAATTTCTCATTCAAAGGATGTACATATTTTACTCGAATATGAAATGTAGATAACATCATCTATGGAGCATTCCAGAATTCAAAGCTTAGCATGTCAGCAAATGTTACACAACAGCACTACCTAAAACCTTAATCATGAAAACCATGCTTGGGCACTACCACAGAAATTTTCAGAACTATTACAGGTCAATTACTTTTTCTATTTATATAAATATATAGTCGTGCTTCAAGATCAATGCTATAAAACTTGTCATTCCATCCACGCAGGAGATAATAATGTATTTGGTTAGTGTACATGTAGATAGTCAGTCGCAGATCTTGTAACCCGAACAGAAAAAACCTCATAATCAAATACTACCAAAAAAGAAAATCTTTCTTATTTTGTAGTTACAAAATTACTACCACCAAGTTCAAAATAAACATTAAAAGTTTACATGTTTTATTAGTGTAAAGGACACACTACTTGATCAACTACTTCATTTTACCATTTCCATTCAATGTGGTTTCCATGTACTAGTAGTATGATTTTGCTAAGGTTACACTGCTATTTTAAGGTAGCTATTTACTTCACTGTACCTTGACGCTTAAGAAACTAAATCCACCACTGCAGATAGTATGAAGATAAAATCTGGAGTCACATTTCTGCTATACAAAAATCAAGTTCACAAATTCGGGAACAAAAAAATCTATATTAGGGTAGACAAGGCATCCAAGTGAGTCATTTTCATTGTCATTGTGAAAATTATTAGCCTTCATTCTATTCTTGACAGGCTACCAGCATCATCAACCAACCAACTCCAATACAACACTAAAATCATATTAGGAGCTAACAGTAATTGATAAACTATGTTCCTTCAATCGTTTCCTGGAGTACATAGCAGTACGTACAGTTTCCATTGCCAAATTACAGAAGCGCTTTCGATTAAAATTATAATCAACACATTTCTTCCAATTTAGAAACATAGAACACTACATTATATACCCACCTAAACTACGAGACGCTGAATATATATACCTACAACATAAATAGGACAATCTCAGGTGGATTTCCAACAATTTGACAGAAAAGTTCACCCGCTTATTACTGTTAACTATGCTAATTTACAGAAAGAAAAAATCGGATCCAGCAAACCAGAAGCATGAACATCATTGAACCAATCAATTTTTCAAAAAATATGAGGCAGCATTTCTACACAGGTATGTTTATATAAATAAAAAAGAAATATAAATATTTCTTAGCAATCTTCAACATCCCTCAAATCAGAGGAAACATAAATTCATCACTGTGAAAACCATCTACAAAAATTACAAAGATAAAGGGGAAATGAGGATCATACGATAGGGTTCCGCTCATTGAGAAGAGATGGATTGTTGCGAAGTAACTTCTGGAATGCATTCATATCTCCTGACTGCGCATAGCCATGAATTGTCGTTGGTTTAGAAGACCTAGGACGCGGATTCTTCATCTTCTGCATCTCGATTTGGGTTTTAATCTGCCTTAGGCTGATGAGGTCCTAAATCCCAGAATGTTGAGAGGAGAACGAAAGAGATAGATTTGGATTTATACACACAGAGAAATGTTGAGAGGGGAACGAAAGAGATTGATTTGGAATTATACACACAGAGAGAGAGGGTCTGAGATCAGATGGTTTTCTATGAAAAAATAAATCAGCTCAGCTATGGTGAATAAAAGAATTTTGTCGCACAGGTGATGCCAGCTAGCACCTGCCCAGCCACCGCGGCTACCAGCTTGAGACAGACGATCATTTGATCAACTTGTAATCTATTGGGGCAAAAAGGAAATAGAATTAAACGAAAAATAATATCAAATGCCAAATGAACCAAACCGACTTTTAACTCCAAGTTTATAAGAAACAAAACTAAGCAAATTCTTTCTTCCATTATTTCTAATTCCACCGCTCATAAGTCATAGGTCCCCGTTCAAATAATCAAGCTAACTATCAAACTTTGTTTAAATTTTGTCTGCAAAACAAACTCCATATGTAAGCTGAAATCCGATAGTTTGTTTTCCGGAAACTTAGGAGTGTATTCCATTCAAATTTTTAAAACTTTTGAAGACTTTTTGTAGTGATTGAATTAGTGGACTATGTAAAATTTTTATGTCTTTAATAGACATTCTGAGATTTTCATAGGTTTCTCGTCAGAAATTTTTTAAAACTTTCGTCATGTATTTTTTAAGACTTTTCGAGAGTTTTATGTATTTATATAATTGGTATGTTTGCATGAAATGTTTATTAACCTTGCATCATAACTAATATCAATAAAATAGCTATTTTTTTTTAAGTGTAATCAAACACGATTCTTATTCAACATAAATAAAATGTAAATATCATTCAAAACTAAAATTTCAGTATATACACCAACACTTTGCCATGTCGCATCCATATCTTCAGTGAGTTCTTCTTGGTATTGTTTAACATGATTGTGATCTTTTTGATGGAAATGATTGTGAGAAAAGCACTAGCCTCTAATAGTTAGTAAGGACACTGGATTTTCCACAAACGCGTCAATTTGATACATCACCTTTGGTCTGGGTTGAACACCTTCCACCTTGAACGATCCTCCTTCTTGAGCTCCCGATAACCTACAGTACATCGGGAGGGGGTTCCCAACGGAAACTCTCCGATGCTCAAGTCAAAACTTGCTCAAAATTGAATGTATAGAATACAGAGAATAAAGCGTGGATCGTGTGTTGTGTAATTCGAGAGAACCTTCGTCCATATATAGGATTCAATACCGTCAAGCCGAATAGAGTTCTTGTTAAGGAAGAGATCCGCCCAGATTCTACTTCCCAAACTTATCACGTCTCTATTTTGGCAAGAGTCCTTAAGCGAGTGATTTTTCCTTCTTTCGTACTTCCCCCTTTACTGCTTTTGCCTGGAGATTCTTCGGTCGTTAGTCTGACCTCTCATCCTATCCAGGGACGGATTTAGATACATCCTAGCCCCCCAAAATTTTTACTTTTTGTCACTATATATATATATATATAGACATTTTGCCATAATTTTAATCTTTCTTACTACCTAAAATATGTAATACATATTATAATCATATTGAATTTATACATCTATCACCTAATTATTACTAATTATTAGTATGGTCTATCTAATAATCCTTTATAACTATATTATATGTTTCACGTAAACTTCCACCATTTTCAAGTGTAATATTTGGTGCCTTTCCTTTTATATTGTAGAGCTTAGTTGAATTGAATGTAAGAGATGGGTAAAAAGAAATTATAAATAGAAGAGCATGAATGGTATGCAATTTCATAGAGTCAGATAAAAAATTGAAAGAACTATTGGTACTGAGTCAATAGTTGATGAGTCTTGTGATATGAGATAATGTCAAACACAATTTTGCAATATCAAAGCTAAAAAGTTATGTCTTTTGTAGAGCATATTTATTATTTATTTTATCCATTTTATAATACAATTCTATGTATTATATCTATATAAATGTACGATATATTAAAAATATATATTCCCTCTAAGGTGTTATTAGAATTGAGTCAAGCTGAATACCTCATGCAAACTCAACTCTACTCATTTAATAAACGAACAAAAATGTGGGCTCGAGCTCGTTTCGTTTAATAAATAAATTTAGTTAATTGTTTAACCTTAGCTCGTTTACATATAATAACAAGATGAGGTCAAACTTTCATTGGTCAAATCGATTATGTTCACAAACAACTTATTTCGAAAAACAGCTTCAGTCCCCCCGAAAAAAAATTTATGGATCCGCCCTTGATCCTATCTATTATGGTCCTTCTGAGAACGTCCTTGACCTTTCCCTGAGGTCTGATCTAACCCCACCTTTAGGTCCAACTTGTCCCTAGGTCACCCGACCTCAACGCATACCGAGATTGGCTACTTTACCAGGTTCCTAGAGGACGATACCTCCAAATCTTGTCTGTTTTGCCAGCTCCGCACTCCTGGCTCGTGTCGAGCTACTTGGCCAAACATCCGTCTCTACATCAATCGGGAGTTCTCCTAGCCCGACCACAACCGAGCTACTTCTCGGACCTGATGTGCCAAGTTCATTTTTGGGTGCTATATGAGTTGGATTATTGGCTTTGGTGGCTATAATGCATTTTTATTTGTTTCTCATTCTTATCGAACCCATCTCCCTATATATATATTAAATAGATTTGGTAATTTCTATGAAAAAATGTTGGTAAAAGGGAANAAAAAAAAAAAAAAAAGTGTATGCCGCTTAAAATTTGTAATACGTTTGGACTCCCAACCAAATCAATAGTCACTTTCCCGGAAAAGGCGAGGAATAATGGCGCAGGCCGCAAGGTTGAGTTTACGAATGCAAAAGGAAGTGAAGCTGCTTCTCACTGATCCACCGCCGGGTGCCTCTTTCCCTACTCTCTCCGATGACTGTTCTTTCACCTCCCTCTCCTCCATCAATGCACGTATGATCTTTCCCTGCTCTCTCGCTCTCTCACTCTCTCTATAAATATAGACAGACATTTTCAAATACGGAATAACACAATTGTTTACAGTATTTCAAGGACCTCATGGAACTGTTTATGCCAATGGCGTCTTTAAGATCAAGATCCAAATACCGGAGAGGTATGCCCTTACCCTACTCTCTGGTATCCTTTTCCCGTTTGTGCGTATTTTGCCCTCCAGAAATTGAATTTGTATGTTTTGAATTTTTCAGGCAGGTTGGTTTCTAACTCTGTTTTGTTTCAGGTACCCATTTCAACCGCCAGTTGTGACCTTTGCTACACCTATATACCATCCGAATATAGATAATGGGGGTCGCATTTGCTTGGATATCCTCAATCTCCCTCCTAAGGTTTGTATTATATACTCAAAGTTGGTTCAAATTTACAATCGACTGTAGTTGCTGTTGGAATTGGTCTGCTGTTACTCTAATTGTGTAGCTGTGTATCTCTTTTTGTTATTTCATTTCCTAGAGTAAGTCGCATTCCTTACTATCGTTTGCGTTTTTCTTTAATACGCATGCTTTTATTAGTAGTAAAGGGTTGGGATGAGAAACTACACCGTTTACACTTATGCTGGCGTAGGTGCATGTGAGGTGTATAAATGGGTCGTATTCTTTGGATGTACGAGAAAATGATGAATGGAAAAATGTTTTTCCCCTCTTCGTTTGAAATTCAACAGTTGCTCCATATGTTTGCAGAAATTATCCTTTGTTGGGTGTGCTAGAGAATAATAGGAAAATTGAGTGAACAACGGGTGTTGGTTTGAGATATTCGAATATTCTTTTTCATTATTTTCGTTATAGTCTTGTTGCGGATGGAAGTTTTTGATGTTGACTCACTTGGTTGCTTGATATAGAGAACCCTGAAAGCCCTCCTTGTGATCCCCTTTCAACCATGAGTTCAGCTACGCTCATACGATGATGCTTGAATGTCGTTTTCTCTCCCATTCTTTATAGTTTGTGAAATTGTAGGGAATAGAGTAGCTGCTGCAATTATAAACTGGTGTGCCTACAAAACATGAGACTCACTTACTATTATTACAACATTTTCAAGTATAAACATTTTTGGATACATGTGCTTGCTTCTGACACACATTTATGTAGATTTACGCGTTTCACGTTTTTCTTGTTATAAGCCTCTTGGGATTTGGCGATTGGTATGATGACATCTCAAAGGCTGAGCATGTGAAAAGGTATTCATGTGCCATGTGAAAGGGTTCAAAGTTACAATCGACTGTAGTTGCTGTTGGAATTGGTTTGTTGTTAGTCTAAGTGTATAGCTGTGTATTCCATTATCTCTTTTTCTTATTTAATTTCCTAGAGTAAGTCGCATTCCTTATTATCGTTTACTACTTAGTAGTTAAGGGTTAGGATGTAGATACGACACCGTTCACACTTATGCTGACGTAGGTGCATGTGAGGTGTATAAATGGGATGCCTTCTTTGGATGTACGGTATGAGAGAATGATGAATGGATAATTTTTTTTCCCCTCTTCTCTTTTCATATGAAGTTCAACATGGTACAAAAGCAGCTCATCTTGGGAAATCAAGGTTGAATGAGGAATTCAGCTGAATTTGTGAAAAGAAAGGTGATTCTGGGGTTCGAGGATGCATTTGCAGCTGGAATTGAGAAATGATGCAGTGATGATTATAGTGATGAGTATAGTGATGATTATGGAGTATAGAACAAGGTTGACTGGATGATATTATCATGGATACTTAGTTATGGATTTAGCTGAGTCACTTATCTATGTTGATACAACAAGAGAGCTTTGGGAGGTTATATTGGAGAAAATAATGGTCCTTTGAAGTATAAGATACAGAGGAGATTTCAAATCTGAATTCCGGAAATAGTTCAGTGATGGAATTTTCAATAAACTCAAGAAGCTATGGATGAGTATGGATGCATTGTTCGTATTCAAGTTTGTGCTAGTGAGAAAGAAAAGTTGAATGCACAACATGAATCTGAAACAAAGCTGATTCAGTTTCTCACGAGACAATGATAGACATGATAACATAAAAAATTAGATAATGTTGACAGATCCACTACCTACAGTAAATATTGCATATTCAATGATTCTAATAGTAGAGAGTTGTGCAAAATGAGTATGGGGAAAGGGTAGATAATGCTGCTATGGTAGCAAGGACAAAAAGCTATCGGAGAGGACATTTTAACCAAGGAAGAGGAGGCAATGGAGACAGAGGTAGTATGTATTTAGGTACACAGTGGACACAGGGGGAAGAGGAAGAGGAAGTAACAAGAGTAAGGAGGAGAAGACAAAGCTTATCTATGAGAAATGTGGTATGCATGGTCACATAGTAAATACTAGTGTTCTAGAAGTTAGATCATTACTTTTCTTGCTTATCCTTTAGGGACGAACATTTCTTACGGTTGAGTTTAGAAAATTACATTAGTTAGATCAAAAGGCCTCATAATATAACATGGCGCGCATAAAACTGGCGCAGCCATCCACACTATTTAGCAGCATAATCGCAATGTTCTCAAGTAGTAGGAAAACTTAAAAGTTTTTTGCATTGACATAACTTGATCCAGATGTTTCCATATATAGAACTGAAATTCTTTAATTTGTTGGAAGTTTAAGTCGATCATGTTTTTTGAAAGGTGAGAATTAGCTTTGACTATATTAGTACCAGGTCTTCTAGACTAAACTTTAGGTTTTAATTTATGTTATTTTTGATGACTTTAAGTTTTCTCCGTAGTTTTTGGAATACTAGTCGAAGTAACTGCCTTACATTATTTGAGCTGTGTATTTAAAATCTGATGCAAATTGAAGCAGGGCACTTGGCAGCCATCTTTGAATATTTCAACTGTCTTAACAAGCATTGGACTCCTCCTAAGTGAACCAAACCCTGATGACGGTCTCATGCATGAAGCGGTGAGTGAATGCAGACCATAATAACAGAAGCATAGACATTCACGGTCAACTATAACATTTCTTTGAATATTTTGCAGAGTAGAGAGTATAAATATAACAGAGAAGCTTTCAACCAGAAAGCAAGATCCATGACTGAGAAATATGCGAGAGTTGGAGAAAGTGGAAGTTCTAGTGGCAGCCAAATTCATACAGGTCCAAGCACCGCACAAGTAAGTTTATTTTGTCTTGGTTAGGCTATAAAAGTTTTACATCTATTTTTAATGCTCCTATTTATTGTCACACAGCTGCAGACTGAAACACAAGGAAGCGGAAGCAAGCTCTCACTTGGATCTCTGCAATCAAACAGCAATGAGATATACAATGAGAGTTCTGATAAATCAAATGCCATGAGAAATAAATTGTCTTTACCTGTTCCCCTTGGTAAAAATCGTATGAGCCTGAAAAGTCAGTATTCATCTGTGTTGGATGCCAAAACCACTACTAATGATACTTCCGAGTGCATGCCATCAATTACTACAGGTGGCAAAAACAGCAGCATAAGTGTTGGCAAAGAACATCAATCCTTGCCCTCTGACGAGAAAGAGAACCTACCTCTAACAGGCCAATCAAATTGGCTTGGGGCCAGCAGTGACAATAATCCTGAAAACCAATCAGGCCATCTTTTCGAATTTCTGCATGTGAAAAATAGTATAGCTGAGGACGTCATTGTGTTGGATAGTGAGGATAGCGAAGATGAGAAAGTACCGGTGAGGTCCAAGTTGTTGCAATCGAGAAGATGCTTGCCAAGGAAGCGTAAAGGAAATCTAGCTTGATCGGTTTTTCTTCTGTGCTCTAAAATACTTCCGCCAGTTTTGTCGCTTTTACTTATGCTTGTCCTAACTGTGTTACTGTACATGGACTATGGATGCAAATCTATACTAATGTTTTGTCTTATCCTTTTTCTTTTTACTTTAGGGATGTCTGAGATATTTTTGAGGGAGTATCTTCTTACACGTCATAACATATACTATAACACAATAAATCTATGCGGATTCGGTCGAAT